CACCACTCTAGTCACAGGATGTAGCTTTGTATGAATTATATGAGTGGTGTATTTTCCAGTAATACTCTTGTGTCTACGTATATTGTAAACACTTACATGAAGATGTATATCAAATTAGTTTGATCATTGCCAGTTGGTTTGTTTGACTATATGTTTCAACTTGGGTTCAGGCTGATGTATAAAATTACTATTAGTCTAGATTATTATTGGTAAATAAATACATTTTTTTGTTCCGACAACTCCCTTATATATTTGATCTTTATAATAGTGTCAAATATCATTTTATGAAACTATGTGACTATAATCCTTTAATTATGAATTTGTTTCAGACACCGGAAAAAGCCAACGTGGTCAGAGACATTTTCAAGCTGGATTTGGAATTCTTCTTATGATGAGTTCACTGAGGGTTAATATTATAAAACTGTAGCTCATAATTATTTGTACATATAAAATGTTCATCATATGATTCTTCAATTAAGCTGTACATGTATGATTTCAACTTTGTATTGAAACTATTTTTAATGTCTCTTTCAGAGGAAAAGCATGCAGAACTGTGTTATACAGAATGTCTTTTTCTTGAAGCTCTTCTCACCTTTATCCAGGTATTGGTTTCAGTAATTTTCTCAAACTCATATTAAATAATTCTGTATGAACAAGTTTAAACAAAGGAAATATTAACTGTGATGGGGATATCTGATCTCAATTAGAACTGATTTTTAATACAATTTTATTTCTCCATTTTCTTCTTAGTTTTAGTTTCGATTGAGAAGATACATCAAACACTCAACACAATGTTTGAAATTTATCTCATTTCCTAAGCACCTTGCCACTTGTCAAAAATTAATTTCAATGGGACAGTGAGACTCTGTTTTCAATGCCTTTTCCTGTTTGATATACATGTGTTACATCAAGATCTGGTGATATGCAAAGTAAATTTAGCTTGTAATGACACTGGTGCTTTTGTGAAAAACCAATTTTTCATGTATTTGTTTTTAAATGTAAGAATGCTGACAAAGTCTATAGATTGAAGTGTTAATACAATGTTCATGTGTTTTGTGTTATATATTCCTGTGACAGGATGACAATCTTGTCAGCTTTGTTTGGGGAGCTTTCAAAATCAGGAGCTGTTACCAGAATTACAAGTAATAACTTCAATCTCCAGCTCTAACTTTAACTCTAACAGATAGTTTATAATTGCATCAAGTAACACTAATTTGATAGTTTACTCATACAAGTACAGTTGAAGCCCACAATCTCTAACTCTCAAGGGAAACAAAAAGTACCCTTTGGCTCAAGATGTTACAGGGGTTTGAGATTGTCCATAGTGAATGACTGAAAGGCATGTCAGATGATATCAGATGATATCAGATTTGTCTGTGAGTTCAAGATTGCGAAGAATTCAAGATAATCGAGGCTCAACTGGATGTACATTACAGTTGAACCTCTCCACAACAGCCCCCTTGGGGACATAGGAANGGATAACCTCCAGCCTGATGAGCCACTTGGCTCGTATGCAGACTTGACCATAAAACTCGAGCTCTAGTTTTTAGATAGTAACCCTAAATATCTGTTATACCAACTGTGCTATCTTTTCTTAAATCTCTTTGAACATTCTAGCTCCTTTAGGAGAAGAGATCGTGTTCTGAGACAAACTTATTTTCCATTCATTGTGACAGTTTCTAGGTTTGAATCATTTACACAAGGGAAGCAGGGGTCAGGGTTTGAGGTCGCCATTGTGTTCTATGCTTCTGCTAGCCTACCATACGTGGATCACCCAGTATCTAGGTGAGTTAAAAACTGCACAATCTCTAAAAAATAGATTACCACATGTGTTACACAAAAGTCTAAAGCACAGTACTTCTCTACTGGGTCTCAGGAGTTTCATTAAGGGCTGGGCCTCAGCCAAATTGACCAGCTGTGAAGATGATTTTGCCCGCCTGCTTTGACAATTTAGAGGAAAGGTTTTCTTATAAAGAAGTTCAGTTCAAAAATTTTTGCCCACCTGTGAAAACCAGTTATCCTCCTGCTGAAAACGTTAGTGAAATCCGCGGGGTCTCATAACCGTGAGATACCTGCAGATGTATTGTTCCGATACTTGTTAGGGTTATCCATTGGTGTCTGTCATAAGACATGGATCTTGTTTCATTTTAGGAAATGGCAATGGCGACATAGATAACTCAGAGGAAATTCTTCAGCCTATTTTAACTGCATATCCCAAGGTATACTTCATATTATTAAAAGCTCTCTTCAAAGATTTTAAGTTAAAGGTCACATAAGACGATTTTCAAGAGATAGAAAGTTTTACTGGAAAACAAGAGAGAGTGGATTTCCTGACTAATAGTATACATGACAAAATTACTCGATTCTGATTGGCTGAGAGCAGTGCATTTCAAGTGTAACACTAGTGTAAAAAGTGTAACACCAGTGCAAATCACACATCGTTGAATTTGGAATTAATTTGCACTTGTGAGTTTTTCAAAAAGCTGAAATTGCACTCGCCAAACGGCTTCAGCAATTTCTGCTTTTTGAAAAACTCACAAGTGCAAATTAATTCCAACTTTAACTCGAAACCGTATGATTACCTTTCATAAATACCCTGTTATTTCATACCATGTTTGCACCTAAAAAAACAAAAACAACAACGACAACAAAACAAAACAAGATACAAAAACTGATCTACTGTTGGTGAAATCTTTCCTGTCTAGCATCAATAGATTTTAACTGTGTCTTTTCCAGGGATCTGTATTTCTATTTTTTGATGGCCGTATTAAGCAAGTTCGAGGAAAACTAGATGAGGTAAGTGGTTCCTGCCATCTTCTTATGCGTTAAATTACACGCAAAATTAGTTGCAACCGTTTCAGTTTCTTGAGTGAATTGTCATCGCGTTTCTCATATTCTCGTGTGTGTAATGTGTATTTGGTGATAATCACAGAAAGACGTGTAACCAGTAAGAAAGTGGTAACCAATGATAAGGACGGGAAAATGTCTAATGGGGACAAGGGCGAGAAAATACATGTGCACCAATCGCAGGCGGCGGGAAAGTGTGTAATCAGAGACAAGGGCAGGAAAGTGTATGACCGGTGGCAAGTGGCGGGAAAGTGTGTAGCCATTGACATGTGCGGAGAAACGTAATAACCTTTAACAAGGGCGGGAAAATGTGTAACCAGTGACAAAGGCGGAAATGTGACTGGGGACAAACGTAATAAAATGTGCAGCCAGTGATAAGCGCGGGAAAATTGATTGGAAATTCGTTCTGTAGTGAATAGGTCTGTTGTATCCTCATTGAGTCCGCGATTCCTCGGAAGTAACTTTTAAAAGATGCGTAGCATTCAGAAAGGCAAATGACTATTTTAAAAACCTACAGGTGCTTAGGACTGTATTTTGTTACCTATTCTGACAGGCCATCAGTAGATACAAGAGCTCATTCACGGTTCAGACGGAGATAAAGCAGTTTCATCACATATTCTAATGGGAACTCATGTGGTGCTATGCGTGAGTATATGAACTCCTAGAGTTTTCGTATTAAACGTTACAAAAGCTGTTTGGTTGCATGAGCGACACAAGAAAACAAACAAGTTTTTTTACAATAACTGCCGAAATTCTCACGCGCTCATTGACTAATTTTCATTGTCAATAAGCGGACAGACACATTAATTTTATAATTTATGCGATGCTATCACCTCGTGGATCCACAGCTACTTTGACAATGTTATGACGAAATTCATGATCAGTAGCAGGACAGACGCATGAGAAACTGACTTCAATTTGTTAATTTTAGCGATACAATAAACGATAGGTTTTTGAGCAGTCAGAGCGCGCGTAGTATGTCAGTTATTTTATAACATGAATCACTTGAATTTTCTAGGTATACACACGAGCATGCAGGTATACCGAGAAAATACACGTGACAACGGTTTGATATTCCATGTTATACCACGAAAGAGCGTTACATAACTATTTTATACCATGCCATAGAAAATACAGTGGCTAAGATACGCGCAGCGCACGATGGGAAGGTTAGGTGTAAGACCGTCGGGTATATAATGGCTTTCCTGTATTCTGATAGGCCGTATTTTCCATGGCATGGTATAAAAGTCAATATTATATTCGCATTTACAGATGCAAGGGAGACTGGATCCAAGCTTATAACTACGCTGATATTCTGTTGGAAGAGAGCCTGTGGTCGAAGGTAAATGATGTCTAGAAATACCTCTAGTTGTCAAGTGGGAGACAACTTAAGAGCTTTCACCGACGGCTATAGGGTATACTTGAACAGTAGTCGTTACTTAAAAAACGAGACGCAATATGGGGCGAGTCGCTTGTAGTCGCTTGAAGGACATGATTGATTGGTCCCACGGTATCCGTGTTACACGTTTTTAGGCAGAGGGTAGTTTGGCGTTATGGCATCGAACCGACGTATCAACGATCGGTAGTCTTGCTGGTACCATGCACATATCTGATTGGTTTAGTTAGATCGTTATTTGTGTCTAACGAAGGTTTACCGAACATGGTACATTGCCTAAATGACGATCAGGGCTTTCTAGGCTGCTGGGTGGAAAGAGCCAAACGTTTGGGTCAGATGCTAAGAATCGTGTCTTTGTTTTTCTCTTTTCTCTTCAGACTGTTTATATGCACCTGAAGGCATCGTTCAGAGTAATGGCCAGGCTTGTAAACCAAAAAATAGTCAGGGAAGGTGAAGAAGGAAGAAATGACACAGAAAGCTACATGTTCAGGTGAGTGAAGGATCATGACATTCTGAAAGAAAAGCTTTCGTCTATAGCACTTCAGTGATATTGTAGCCTATATTACCTTTTTACCGTACACAAATTTGAAATTAGCCCGGCGATTCGAAACCGTATCTACTGTCCTGATATCCTGCGATATCAAATCACTGACCTGATATGGCTACGATATCATAGTCACGTGGCCGAATTTGGGTACGGTAAATACCTAATAGACCATTTTACAGTTGTCTGCTCAGTGACCTGGCCTTTGGATGGCAGCGAGGCTAGAGTTGACCTTGTTTTGATACAGACCTCACTGCTTTTNTGACTAAAACCCCTAGCTATGTGTGTCCACTTACTAAACGACCACCATTGAGCAGTATTTCCGTGCTGTAAAAGGTGGTATTATCTCGAGATTTTTATGAGGTGATAAATAATGCATGAGGCAGAGGATTGAATTAACTGTCACCTCACAGAAATCGAGGCGAATAATCTAATTGTTAATGGACCATTTTACAGTTGCCTGCTCAGTGACCTGGCCTTTGGATGGCAGCGAGGCTAGAGTTGACCTTGTTTTGATACAGACCTCACTGCTTTTGTCATGTAAATGCACCCAGTTAGCATAAGAACAACTTGTTTTACACAACAAAAGCAGTAAGGTCTGTATCAAAACAAGGTCACCTCCTCCCTCGCTGCCATCCAAAGGCCAGGTCACTGAGCAGACAACTGTAAAATGGTCTATTAGTAGAATTCTGACTAAATCTCCTTCAAATAACGATTTCCAATTATTTCTCTACACGCTGTGTTTTGGCATTACACGTTGTAGTAAAATCGCGAGCACTGAAGTTGCAGTTGTTTACAAGTGCTCAAAAGTTCTTTTCAACAATTGCAAGCTATAAAAACGTCAGTATTAGTGAAGGTCCATCTTAAAGTCTTCCCAGGAAATTAATTTTTAATTTCAGCGAGTTTTTGTGGTGAATCAATTTATTTGAATTTCCCTCAGAGGTTTTCAGTAGGTTTAAAGCGCGGTTCAGAAGAGGGAGGCAGTACTAATTTTTTGCTTCTTCTCGTGGTGTGAATTTGAATCCAAGTAGTCCGTTGTTGTGAGTAGACTTCCGGTAAAAACATCGATGGTGATAAGACCGTCTTTTTTTTTCTGGTGACCAAGGTGTCTAAGAAAGATATTTGCCCATTGTTTTCAGTGTCGATGACGAAAGAGATCTTCGGGTCGATCGAGTTAAGGTTGTCATCAAAGGTTGAGATGGAGTGTTTCTTGATAATAAGGAGATGAAACTGTCCTCAACATACCGTTTCCAAATTTTCGCTGGAGTTCTGGAAGCAGTAATGGCTGATCCTTCGATTATTTCCATGCAGAGGTTTGCAACGACCCGGCTGGCAGGGCTACCCATGGCACAGCCGTGGTTCTGCTTGTAAATAGAGTCGCTGAATACAAAGAAGTTGTTTGATAGAGTGAATTTCAGGAGAGAGATGATATCATCATTGGTGAGATTGGTTCTTAAGTGTAGAGTTTCGTCTTCATTCAGGTTTTTGCGAATATATCAGAGCTTTTAATTTATATCGACAAGAAGAGCTGTAAAGAGGATCAAAGAGTGCAGAGACAAAATCGAATGATACTATGTCATCGTCATCCGAGAGATTTCCAGATTAGCGACTTGTTCCGCAAATTTCATTGAATTAGGAACGGTTTAGCCGTTGATATTGTGGATCGGTGCTAAGATGTCAGCTAGGAATTTAGAGGTGTTGTAAAGGGCCGAGCCAGGGCAAGAAACAATCGGTCGGAGAGGATAATCTGGTTTGTGGTGTTTAATTGAGAGGCGTATGGCTGGCGGAACACCTCGGTGGATCGTAGTTCACGATAGGTCGATTTGTCGATCTTGCTTTTTTCCTAAGTTCCGGTTACCTCTTACTTAATTCTTTTTCAATCTTCGCAAACGGGGGATTTTTGTCAAACTTTGATTGCAGACAGGCAATCAAAAGCTCCAGTAACTTTAAACTACTTTAACCAAAGAACAATTTATATATATTTTGAATATGTCTTATCCTGGTTACTCGTCCATTTTTAAAAATAACAATAATAAAGCAAAATCAAAGAGAGGCAAGGGGGATCAGATTTAGACGGTACCGATTTTGAGGAAAAAGGTCCTCGTAGTCGGTACGGTTCCAGCCTTTTCTAGTCGCGCGTCGTTGAGTTATTTCAGTTTTGAAGTAGTGCCGAAAACGGCCACAGAAAAAATAGGGAATGGGTTTCACGACTAAAAACAGGCTAAGTTAGTCGATGGCGTCCATCTTGGAGACTCATAAACTAACAAATGAACTTAGTCAAAAAAAAAAGCTAGTCAGCGCACACATCCTGCAATGGCGTATCTCTTAAGTGGTAAAAAAAAACAACGAAAACAAGAATTGTACCACGCAAAACAAATAAACAAAGCAGAAAAAAACAGTATTGTTTTTTTAACTGCTTGTCAACTATGTATTGCACGAAGGTTTCTCATGGTCCTGAAAAAATCTCACACAATTTTTTAAACCAGCACTTTTTCATTTTCTTTGTTTCGGTCCCACAATGGACTTGCGATCCTTCCCCTGTATATCTCTTATATAAATCGGTAAACTGGGTTGCTCGACAAAGCTCTGACAATAAAGCATTAGCCATTCAAACTCAGGATGGTGTTTTCTTACAAAGTCTAGACGACCCACCCAAAATTTGACAGACAGAATTGACTAGATTATTTATTACATGTTCTCCAGGTTCACATGTTGAAAGTNAGGTGTTGTAACATTATCACATTCCTGGGCAGTGCAAGAGACGGAAATTTCTGAATTGGAAGTACAGGATTTTGTCTTGAAAGTGACTTTTCACATGAATAAAACATTTGAAACATGGAGTCTCTGCATTTACGATATGCTAATGCCATCATGGTCTAAGCTCTCGTAAGCGACCACCTCTCGTAAGCGACCACCTCCCGTAAGCGACCACTAAGGATTGACATTTTGGTTGATCCCTTAGAAGAGGTTCGACTTTACTTCTTAATCTAGTCAATTTATGATATCAAAACCAGAATTCACTGTAGGCAGTGGTTGCTTGAATACTTTTGGATCAGAAAAGGCTTTTATTCTTAGCCTGGCTCTATTCTCAGTTATCATAAAGAGTTGCTTTCTTTTGTAAAGACATCTTCCAGATTTTAAGCAGCGAATCGCCGGACAGTCCCTTCCATTTGAGAATTTTGCCATCCACAAGGCGAACAAGTATTTTGAACAAAATGGCCGCCTTTTTCTTCCTGGAGTGGTAAGTAGCTACATCAGAATGACATTTATCCAGCATTCACAAGACACACCGCTGTACATGTTAATCCTTTCTCTTTCAAGCACGCCGAAGTTCAGAATTGGAAAGAACATTCCGAGTAAAATGCTGTAAAACAAATAAAACCACTCTAGGGTTTTACCCGCTGACTCAAGGTCATTCCCCAGTATTGCATTGCGCATCCCTACTGCGCATAATTTCACGCGTGATTAGCGCGCGCGCATTAAAAAATGGCGGCTTTTTCTTTNCACTGAGGCTTCATACACTGACTTAAAAGTTAGAACCACCTTGTACAGCATAATAAACAGTACCAGATGAAAGTACTGCTAGACAGCTTTCATTTGAATGGTCACACACTAAGGCTTCGTACACAAATTTGAAAGTTTAAGCAACATTCACTTGCTCCGAACTCGTCATGTTCAACGGGCTTATCTCAGACACTGAGCTTTTCATCCGCTCTGGTTTTAACGTTCTTTACTTGCTTGGCAGTAAAATTAAAGTTTCCGCCTGTTCCTTCTCGTCTTATTTTCAAACAGGAGCTTATGTACATATGGAATGGCTTTAAGGTCCTCAGTCATAGACCAGACTTAGTTCAACCTCTGATGAAACTAGTGGAGAATTCCTTGCATAAGCTTAAGCAAACAAAAGGCAAGTGATTCAATCTATTTGTGGTTTTACTAAAATATAGTCAAGCTTCTATGATACCGACACCAAAGGACCAGTGCTGAGGGTCCGCATTTTAGAGTGGAGTTGATATAAATTCTGGTTTCGCTGGGACTTACTTATTAACTGTCCCTGATATAGAGATGTCCGTATTATGCGGCTGTCCGAGTGAGTGGTTCAACTGTATTGATGTCATTTAAAGCACAAGTAGTCCAGAATCGAAATCTTAATTCTCGTTTCTGATAACCGAACATTTTTTGGTTGCTAGTTCTGAGAATTTGGCAGTTGATCGACTCCACTTTAAAAATCTGTATTTTGATTCGTTCTTATTAATCTGCACCTCTTTTGTTCTTAGAGCTCGGGGCATTGTTTGTGTTCTTTATACATTGGTTCGTTTGGCCAGTTTTGAAGAACTTTGTAAATGGTGTAGGTCGTCCCGTGTTACATCAAGACGAATCCCTCAGTCAATGATTTTCTGTATTCGTGTGTGTTTAAAAGATTTACTATCTTACAGTTTTATGATTTTATTTTTAGATGAGAATAAAAACTATGTGGACGATTACTGCTTGGGTAAACTACTGCAAGCCATGTGTTATCGCTGTCTGAACAAGAAAAACGAAGCTATGGAATGTTTGAGAAACTCTTTCAATCGGTGAGTCTTGAAGTTGAACTTTGATTTATTTTCCTTTCTTATATAGAGTTACAAGAATTGCTTGCCCCCTACCCTGGATGCCAGAGGTTTTTCTTGCGCGGTTTCCCCGCCGAAGGGAAGCGAAGTATTTCCGTCTGCAGCGCGAGAAAAAACCTCTGGTACCCAGGGTACTTGCCCTCTCAACTAGTTCCAGAACTAATCGAGGCGGGGGCAAGAGTTTATATTAAAAAGGAAAGAAAGAAAATAAAAGTAATGATAATTTACAGCAAAATTACAAAAGGTACAAGTAAAACATCAGAAACAACTACAGGTGACCGAAAACAAAGTGACAGCGTAATGGGCACATATACAAGCGACTAGAATGCTATTATTAATAAACCATGTTAATTAAAAGAACTGCTGTATCAGTTGGGGGACTTCAGTATAGTCATCTTCACATTGTAACACATCAAGGAGAAGTTCCTTTATTTATATATATATTTTAATCTGCAAGATTGACCTTAGTATGGTATTTTTCAGTATATACTTACGAGGATATTTTAACGTACGAATAAATACAAGAACAGCAGCTCAGTACTTGCAAAGACTTCAAAGAGAGTACGAGAATAGAATTTTTTTTTCTTTCTATTTGTCTCAGATCAAAGGACTTGAAAAAGGATTTCTACCTCGCTCCTTACACATGCGCAGAGATTGGGTTCTTGTATCAGGACGAAGGCGACCTGGATCGAGCTAAAGAATACTTGGAACGGGCGAGGTATGAATTTTAATGCTGCACCGCTTTCAAATCGCTGTGTTTATTTTTAAACGCTTTCCTTTTAAACCAATCGGAAGCAAACTAAAAGCTGTTGAACGGTGATTTGGATTACGTTTGCCAGATGCCATCCTCTGTCATCGGCTGCCTGTTTCTGCCTGCGCGCTTGCTACTGGTTTCTGGTTTCCCCGCGCTAACCATCGGTTTCACGTTTTCCCGCGCTTGCCACTGGTGACATGTTTTCCCGCGCTTACCACTGATGGCATGCTTGCTCTCACGCGCTTACCATCGATTTCACGTGTTCCATGCTTGTTTTCCCGCGCTTATTATCGATTCCATGTTTTCCCGCGCTTAACATCGGTCCCATGTTTTTCGCGCTTTCTGTCGATTTCATGTTTACCCGTGCTGGGCACGAGCTGCGTATTTCTACTTCGAGTTCTGATAAGCTTACTGCGTTATTTTCGTTTGTTGCGTGAGGTCGCATGTGAGAACTTTCGTTTTATTTCACGACAGCAACAAAAAACTTCTTTAATCGTGTTAAATTAAGCATTTTTTTCTCCAATAGGAAACATCGAGATCACATGCTACAAAGTCTGCTTCACTTAAGAATTCACGCAGCTCTTCAGGAGATCGAACACAATGGCATGGGTAGGGACAGATCACCAGTATTACATGAAAAAGAATTCGTCCAGAATGCACAGAACAAGCAAGGAACCGAGAGTAACGAAGACACCGCAGCCTCGGCTAACGACGATGATTTCTTCGATGCCGAAGAAGACTGTGTACCAAACTTGTCTCGCCAAGATTCCAATTCTTCGTTTGATATAATATCTGACTTTGCTGATGAAGTTTAGCGCGACACGGGAAAGGGCCTGCAATAGGAAAAAAATCCCGTGTAAGTTTTTAATGGCTGCCTCACCGGGTTTTCNTACAGTTTTATGATTTTATTTTTAGATGAGAATAAAAACTATGTGGACGATTACTGCTTGGGTAAACTACTGCAAGCCATGTGTTATCGCTGTCTGAACAAGAAAAACGAAGCTATGGAATGTTTGAGAAACTCTTTCAATCGGTGAGTCTTGAAGTTGAACTTTGATTTATTTTCCTTTCTTATATAGAGTTACAAGAATTGCTTGCCCCCTACCCTGGATGCCAGAGGTTTTTCTTGCGCGGTTTCCCCGCCGAAGGGAAGCGAAGTATTTCCGTCTGCAGCGCGAGAAAAAACCTCTGGTACCCAGGGTACTTGCCCTCTCAACTAGTTCCAGAACTAATCGAGGCGGGGGCAAGAGTTTATATTAAAAAGGAAAGAAAGAAAATAAAAGTAATGATAATTTACAGCAAAATTACAAAAGGTACAAGTAAAACATCAGAAACAACTACAGGTGACCGAAAACAAAGTGACAGCGTAATGGGCACATATACAAGCGACTAGAATGCTATTATTAATAAACCATGTTAATTAAAAGAACTGCTGTATCAGTTGGGGGACTTCAGTATAGTCATCTTCACATTGTAACACATCAAGGAGAAGTTCCTTTATTTATATATATATTTTAATCTGCAAGATTGACCTTAGTATGGTATTTTTCAGTATATACTTACGAGGATATTTTAACGTACGAATAAATACAAGAACAGCAGCTCAGTACTTGCAAAGACTTCAAAGAGAGTACGAGAATAGAATTTTTTTTTCTTTCTATTTGTCTCAGATCAAAGGACTTGAAAAAGGATTTCTACCTCGCTCCTTACACATGCGCAGAGATTGGGTTCTTGTATCAGGACGAAGGCGACCTGGATCGAGCTAAAGAATACTTGGAACGGGCGAGGTATGAATTTTAATGCTGCACCGCTTTCAAATCGCTGTGTTTATTTTTAAACGCTTTCCTTTTAAACCAATCGGAAGCAAACTAAAAGCTGTTGAACGGTGATTTGGATTACGTTTGCCAGATGCCATCCTCTGTCATCGGCTGCCTGTTTCTGCCTGCGCGCTTGCTACTGGTTTCTGGTTTCCCCGCGCTAACCATCGGTTTCACGTTTTCCCGCGCTTGCCACTGGTGACATGTTTTCCCGCGCTTACCACTGATGGCATGCTTGCTCTCACGCGCTTACCATCGATTTCACGTGTTCCATGCTTGTTTTCCCGCGCTTATTATCGATTCCATGTTTTCCCGCGCTTAACATCGGTCCCATGTTTTTCGCGCTTTCTGTCGATTTCATGTTTACCCGTGCTGGGCACGAGCTGCGTATTTCTACTTCGAGTTCTGATAAGCTTACTGCGTTATTTTCGTTTGTTGCGTGAGGTCGCATGTGAGAACTTTCGTTTTATTTCACGACAGCAACAAAAAACTTCTTTAATCGTGTTAAATTAAGCATTTTTTTCTCCAATAGGAAACATCGAGATCACATGCTACAAAGTCTGCTTCACTTAAGAATTCACGCAGCTCTTCAGGAGATCGAACACAATGGCATGGGTAGGGACAGATCACCAGTATTACATGAAAAAGAATTCGTCCAGAATGCACAGAACAAGCAAGGAACCGAGAGTAACGAAGACACCGCAGCCTCGGCTAACGACGATGATTTCTTCGATGCCGAAGAAGACTGTGTACCAAACTTGTCTCGCCAAGATTCCAATTCTTCGTTTGATATAATATCTGACTTTGCTGATGAAGTTTAGCGCGACACGGGAAAGGGCCTGCAATAGGAAAAAAATCCCGTGTAAGTTTTTAATGGCTGCCTCACCGGGTTTTCTGTATTTAAATATAACACAGCTATTACAAGGGGTGATATTATCCAAAATTTAAAATATGTATTTTATGTAAAATAATTACACACGCCCCCCCTCCCCTGTCCCTTTTTTCACCGGTGACTGCCTTTTATGTAAAGCGTACATGATACATTTATTTTTCCAATGTATATTTTAAAACGTAAGCTATTGTAATATTTTTGAAAGAACTATTAGTCACCTGCTGTATTTTATGCACGCGTAAATATTCTCTAACTATAACTTGCTACAGGCAGGCCACACAACTATATATAATTGTATACCACTTATTACCACTTAAGTTATTTTCTAAGAAATAAAACGCAGTGTTAAGATGGCGGTGTTTTTTGCTCGTTCCATGCGTTCAAGCTTATTGGCGCATCAGGCCGGAGCCGATCTTCTGTTTTCGTAACATGAAGCGACTAGGAGTATTTCTACTCCCACCTGGATGGGATTTTAGTCCTCTGCAAGGTAGCCTATGAACACAGGCGGTACAAGCAATTATCCTGGTCAGAGCTTGAACCCGATCGCTCGATCCGAAGCACCATTCATTCCACAATGTTCATTTGTTCATTTTTATACCAATGAAGATCTACTTGCCTGCCTAATGCAGCAAAGTCAAAAGAATCAATGATGCTTTTTAACTCGATCCACATGATATGGATACTCATTGGGTGAGCTCAAGAGTTAATATATGAGGGCGAACAGTAATTTCAGCGAATAATACTTCTCAGGATTGATGAGTTTGTATACCGAGTGTAAAATGAGAGTTGACACCAATCAATTGCAAGATCAAGCATGTGACCCATCCGTGATGATTGAGCGGGGTTTCAAGAGTAATCTAAAAAGCGAGATATGCCCAAGAAAACTCTCACCTAACTATTCAGTGTTTTGTAATTTAAATATCATGGCCGTTCATTCCCATATTTAGATTGTACGAATAGAATTTAGGTGTTTTGCACTGTTACTTTAACCCCCGGACGTACAACTCGTACTCGCACTCGTCCCCCTACCGTGGTACAAGGAGGAAGTGGATGGAACTCCCTTGGGTTTTCGAAATAAATTTACATTGATTAGATAGCCCTGAGTTTGGTCTACAAAATGATACCATATTTGTTGGCTGCGACGTCATATGATGTCAAATGACGTCATTTGACCCGCCATCTTGGATTTTGCTTTTTTCTTAAAAAGTCTAGAAATAACAAAAATTAATCCAGAATCAAGCCAGGATTTAAACAAGTAAATAAACAGTGTGACTCAGCTTATCAGGAGTACAAAACAATCGTACTTCAAGGATAAAATTGAGGAAAACAAGAACAACTCCATGAAACTCTGGAACCTTACCAAGTGTCTGTCAAATGATGAGAAAAGCGCTGAAAGTGGAATTAAACATCTCAAAGAAAAGGAGGTAAATATCTTGGTACTTATTAAGTATTGCCGAGATTTAAATTTGTTTTGCGTTGTTCAACCAAAGAAACTAGCTGCGGCACTGGGGCAGGACGTGGGTTCTAATTTCCGGTGACGTCATGGTGATTGTGCTAATCAGGTTACAAACCTGTCATTTCTGCATAATTCGTGGGTGTTTGTGGTGTATGAGCCGTTTAGCATTTGACAGTATATGGATTTCTTAGTATATGCATCGTGCGAAATTCGATCAAAGAACGGGTGGCGCGAACTAGAGCATGGCGGCAAATCCATGCTCTGTTCGCCTCTGTTGATCAAATTCGCGGACCGTCGCTCGATCCAAGCCAAACCACAGTCTCATTTGATCAATAGTGCTTTGAGCAGTTGTGGATCTCATGCGTGCCACCTCTATCCACTTGGAATGGCTGTCAATCAACCCAAGGAAGTAGTTGCCATCTTTCTCTGCAAAATCAACAAGCACTCTTTAATTGACACCCGAGTAGGCCATCTCCATGGGTACAACGGTGCACTTGGGGGTGCGTTCCGCACTGCTTGACAAACTTCACAGGTTCTCACGGTCAACTCAATTTCAGCATTCAAATTTAGCCACCAAATGTAACTTTGGGTTATTGCTTTCATTGCAACAATACCAGGATGTTCTTCGTGTAATTCTTGCAGCACTCTGTTTCTAAGCGACGGTGGAATGATAACACGCATTCCCCATAAGACACATCCTTGGTCAACTGAAGTATGGTTTCAATTCGTCACTGCTTACATAATTTGGCCACCCAGTTAGCGTATAATTTAACACTCTTGCTAGTACAGGATATCTTCTGGTCTCTACTAAATTGGGCAATTCTTCAAGACCAGAGAAGAAAAAGATTTCAGCTTCTTCCTTCAAGGGCGGGTCGTTGCAACGGAGGTGTGATAATGCATCAGCATTGCCATTTTCTTTAGATGGTTGATATTCCACTTGGTATTTGTACGCCTGTAAAATTACTGCCCAGCGTTGCATTCTGGCTGCTGCTAGGGTTGGTACGGCTGTTTTTGGACCCAGAATGGTCACTAGGGGCTTGTGGTCTGTATACAGATGAAACAAACGTCCATAGAGGTACTT